AAAAAATCCCTTCCCCCCCTTCCCTTCCCCCGCCCTCCCTTCCCCCGCCCTCCCCTCCTTCCAAGTATCGTCTTTGCCGCGCGGAGAGAAGATAGCGGGTAAGAAGAAGAAGAAGAAGAAGAAGAAAAAAAGAAGAAGAAGAAGAAGATGATGTACACCATGATAGACCAATGATAATGCTCTTCTTCTTTGCCAACCACTCTCCTCCTCCTTATCTTCTCCCCTCTTATTCCAACAATAATAATAATAACAATGTTGAATGGCTGATCCAGAATCAATGTCCGATTCCATCTTCTACTGCAGGTATCACTTGAGGTCCACCATAGCCATGGCCGCCCCTCTCTCTCTTCTCTCTCATAGGCTGAGGCTACGGCAGACTACCAGGGCATCGCCCTGCTGTCCAAAGGACAACACAAAGCAGCTATGGCTGCTCTAGCTCAGGCCGTCATGCCTGATGCTGCCTCGAAGCTTCTTGGTGTAGCTCTGCCCCAACAGGGCCTTCCTGCTGCAGCGCCCACCAAGGTGATGACGATGGCAACCACCATAGCCAGGTAAGTACCTCTGGCGCTCTCCTTCCTAGTCCAGGTCGTCTTCCTCCTCCGTGTCCTTGCTCCTTCCCCAGCAGCACTGCTCCGAGCTAGTGCTGCTCCAGCCAGCGCTCCAACCACTGTGTGGCCAAACTTGCACACTGACAATGACGAAGAGCAACTGGCTCCTCCTGGAGATATAGCGGCCTGCTTGCCTCTTGGCGAGTGACTTCCTAGGCTGCGCGGCCTCCAAACAACCGGTACCTCCTCCCTTTGGGAGGGAAACATCATTGCAGACTCTGATATGCCCTTACAGGTCCTAGACTCAGACTGGTTGGACTGGAACCCGCCTAGACCTAGCCTACAACTACTGGGCCTCTAAAAATGACAACTTTTGTCTTCTTCTGCTCGGCCTCGAGTACCCGGCACATCTACCTCTACCTGGTGCGGTACCGGCCTACCTGCTACTTGAGTGTTTTCCGCTGTGTCAAGTGTCGCAGGCCTCTTTCCACGCCACTTGAGTGTTTTCCCCGCTGCAATCCTCAATGTCACGGCCACAGGTAAGTACCGGCCCTATGGGCCCACTGAATGAACAAGTGCCTTGCGGGTCACACACGCACTCCAGCCGACAAGCACTCAGACAGGCATGCAGACCAGCAAGCATGCACACACACAGACTTAGAGAACTCAGTAACAAGTGGGGAAATCAGCGAGGCATTCAATCCGTGAGCAAAACTCAGAAATCAGCTGTGTGTCTCAGTCCGTATTTGGTCAGGTCATTACACAATGGTATCTCAAGGCCATCGCCCTTTTATAGTGTGAGGGAGGCTGGACCTGTTTTCCAGCACGTGCTGCTCCCCACGAATAGATAGGAGCCATCTCGAGCCAAAAAAAAAAAAAAAAAAAAAAGCAACTGCATTTTTTTTATTTTTTTTTTCTGGGAACTGCACACTACTTTTTTTTAAACAAACACATGGGTCCTTCTACTCCGGGGGGCATCGCTTTGGTTGCTCGTCACCGGCAATTAGAAACCAAGATTCTTTGACAGGAGAAGAGGAGGGATCAGCCCAATACCCCTGCTGCCTGAGACGGTCTACAAGGGGGCCTGGAGGGTGAGCATCCGTATGCCCTCACCTGGGGGCACATATAATGGCCGGGAAACAGATCTGTGTACCCAGACGTCCACTGTATGTGCCACGGCCGGGAAACAGATCTGTGTACCCAGACGTCCACTGTATGTGCCACGGCCGGGAAACAGATCTGTGTACCCAGCCACCAGGCCTTGCAATCATTCCTCATGGGCCTCACCTTTCCCACACCTCCTTTTCATTCCCAAGTTCCCCTTTTTCTCTGATACCATCTCGTATCTCCCCACTCTTACCTATACCGTCTATTATCTCCTTATTCTTACCGGTACTTCCTATGTCACTTGATACGTCCTAAGTCTATCTTAGTTCTGGGGACCCCTAACCTACGGCTGTCCCCTAATCCTTTCAGATCCTCTTTCACTCCCCCTTCTACACCACCTCTCCCAAAGATAAAGTTATTACTTTTTCAATACCCTTGTGGCTCCACCCCCCTTCTACCTCGGCCAGCTTCACTCCCTACCCCCTTCCCTGCTGTTAGTGTTAAGCCTACAGCGGCCGTCTGTTCTAGCTATCGGGCCCAGTCGATCTATTGCACGTTTTCACCAGTGTAGTCTCTTCTTTTTCTTTTTCAAACTAAGATGTATGGTGAGATGATATGAAGCACTGCATGGCCAATCAGCCGCCTTCTCTCAATTCACCTGCCACGACCTACCTGCCACTACTTGTAAGGCTATGGGCCTCGTTCCACTACTCACCACATCTGAAGGGTTGTTTCTGTTCCTAGTACGGGGGCTACATCCCACCAGTGGGGGGTTGGTCTTCCTTCTAAGTACTTTTCATCACGGCCACAGTAAGGGCATTAGATCTTCAGATCGGATGGCAGGAACAGATGTGAACTCCGAACCAAGTCTAAACCCCGTTGGTGGGACTTGGCCCCAGGACTCGGGCCCGGTTTCCGGCATTGTCATTAATAAAGCCTCGGGCAGTGGGCCCATTAGAAGTCTGAAAAAAAAACAAAAAAAACTACTCACCACATGCACAAACGAAAAAAAAAGTTGGCGGTGTATCTTCCATGTTCTAGTGGAGGATTCATTATAGTTTGCAACTTTGCATATTTAGTGAATAAAGGAGTGAGGCCCTGTACAGGGGACCCCTGATTGCATGTTGGTCCCTGAAAGGGTCGGGGCCGCTCATGCAGGCTCAGCTAACACAAATAACGAGCATTTTGCCAGTAGCTGCACCTCTGTTTTCATTCTCCCCCACCCCCGTCGAGTATCAGTGGTGTCCAATGCCAAGATTCCCACACACCACAGACCACCCACTCACACACACGCTCACACCCATGCTGGCAAGCAATTACAGGAGGCCCTTTCTCTTACTTTCTAGTGTTTGGTTCACCACGGCGTGTACCCTGTTTACCCATGGTTATTTCTACACTGCCCACATCCTCTACCTGCAATTGGCCATGCTTCTCCTAGGCCTCAACTTGTCTGCACTTCTTCGTCTGACACAAAGCACACCCCTAAAAGAAATGAAAAGTGGCCTTTCGTAGTCCTCACCATCACTGAGGAGGACTACACCGTGCTGAAATAAAACAAATAAAATTCTACATGTCCGTGCCTCTCCCTCCCTTTTCCTGTTCATCCACAGACCAATCAGAATCCACTACACCGTGCCCACCCTCCCAAAAAGGTGGGATGGTATTCCCATCGTTCGTTTCCTCCACTATCGACAGGTCACACCTGTACCACACAGTCACACAGTTGTTGAAAACTAAACTACACAACGCATGTGGGCCGAGACCCCAGGTTAATGCATCTCACTGGTTTCTCTTTTCTCATGTCTCTTACTCCGAATTATTGACTTGCTATTCATGCTCTTGTCTCCAATTTGAGTCTTCCATACTGATTGAACTTTGATCATAACAGTTCAAAGATTAATACGTCTGTGTGTGACAGAGAGAGAACAAGCCCCAGCTACTTGAGGAGCTCGGGGTGTGGGCCTGCCATCACAAAGACAAAACATCTCAACGACCTTCAGAAACGAAAGAGGAGTAATGAAGATAAAGATAAAGACAAGGCTTCATGACAAAGATAAAGACAAGGCTTCATGCTCACCTCATTTCCCCAATTCTCTACCAACGATGATGGGCAAGTAACAACAGCACGGCGCAGAGCAGGCTTTCCTTGTGGCCCCTGCAATCCAAGGTGTACCCACATGAAGATCAAAAGCCAAATGCAAGGAACCAATCAATAGGAACACAAATTTTTCAAGCACTAAAAGGCTTGATGCAGAACAAGCATATATGAGCAAAATTGCAAGCAGAATTACGAAGCCAAGAGCACAACAGATGAGAACACACTAACACTGAAGTCTGTTGATAAGGAAAGCCCAACTTCTCACCTCCACTCATCAGTATAACCACAATGTCGCAGCTCTACTATGATGTAACAGCCTATACTACTCTTTTACTCCCTCTCTATACACAGCCTACTGCTCTCTCACACACTCTCTTTCTGTCCAGTCTCCTCTCGCCTAAGAATGATGCACAGTCTGGCCACAACGAGTGTGATCTTTGGCCGTCGCCAGGTAAGTCTGCCTGTTCCCACCGCTGCCCTTCTCCCCTGATCACCGCAGCCCCAGCGCCACCTCAGGTCCACCCAGTGCAGCTACCCATGGCTGCTCCTCACCCTTCTTCCTCGACGAGCTCCGACCTGGCCACGTGCACTCTCAACAGAGTTAGTGCTGGCAGCCAGTGCCTTCGAATGTGTGGCTGCCTGGTCCAGGACTGGGCTCTTCCCAGACTGACAACCTTCCAAACTGAGTTCCAGTGGCCCAGCCTCTGCAACTGACCAAGGGGCTGGGCCTGCTGGTTTGCTGGAGAGGCTGGCGCCCAGCCTTCCTTCCCAACTGTATCACTCCAGCATCCACTCATTGAGTGCAGATTTTTCTTCTGCCACGGCCTTCACTGAGGCCAGGCCAGGCCTAGTTTCTCTGGGTGGCCCCGACAAAGGCCTGCCAAGGCCTGAAGCCTCGCACAAATGATCCTCAGTTGAAATCACAAAAGTGCACACCATGCACACCGTTGCGCACCCGCAGTGCATTGGCACACGGCACTGCGCACATGCCATTTTTGCCCCACCCAAAAACTTCCGAGATAGCCGACCTGGATTCCAGGACACCTGTGGTCACCCCAAAAAAATGATTTGGGTGACAGTAGGCCCCCAAACAAAAAATTACCAGGCCACGGCCTAGGACTTTTGTGCAGGTAGGCTTGTCAACCATCCCCGCCTAGTTGTAGTCATTTGGTGCAGGGCCTGCCGCCCCTGGAGTTTCTGCCATCCACAATCGCATTGGAGTTTCTGCCATCCACAATCGCATTGGAGTTGCTGCCCTCTACAACCAGGTCGGTTCCTCCCTGTAACGGCCCCAAACCCTCCCTCCAAATCGCCGCCGCCTCCAACTCCACCACCTCACCCCCTGCTCTTCCTCCCCCTCCTCTTCCCCTCCTCGGGCAATCCACCTCCTCCACCACCTCCCCCTCTTTCTCTTCCTCCCCTTCATCTTCTCCTCCTCAGATAATCCTCCTCAGACGATCCTCCTCTGATAATAATGATAATCCTCCAGCTCCTCCTCCCACTGTTTTTCTTTTCGTCATTTTCTTTTCTTTGCTTTGCTGATGACAGCAACATGAAGCCAGGAACGACAGGGAGGGTCCTCCAGTTCTCGACCAACGACCTTACTCTGCTGATCGTCCTCCTTGTCCTCCTCACCCCTTCCACCTTGCACACTTCATTTTCTTTTTTTCTTTTTTTTTCCTAATTTGGACCATTTCTTGCTTTATGTGTGTCATCCTTGCACAGGGGCCATGCTAACTTTCTCTGTATCGTTCCAATTTTAACGGATGTCCGGAAGGACACTTCATTCTCTTCTATTCCTTTTCCGTTTGTTTTATTCAGCGACGATTATCAGCCACTGTAGACTTCTGATCTTAACTGGTCTTTATGGTCTTCATTTTTTTCCATGGCATAGTTGTTATTTGATCTGCCTCTAAACCAATTGGTCTCTTCCATCTTCTTTTGATTGCTGGGAAAGGGTCTTCGGTTTTCAGCAGAAGTTCGTAGCCTAGCTTGACTGACAATCCGTTTACGGGAATGACTCCGAATGAGGTTCTTTTTCTTGCTACCTTCTTTGGATTCCCAGGGCCATTCCATTGGATCAAATTCGAGACCTTGTCCTGCCGTGCACATTTGGGAAAGTCTTTGGACAAAGACCGAGTACCCTGATTTTTCAACAAGAGATGAGTCTGAGGTTGCTTCTTTGGGTTTGATATTATGAATCGCGGGTGTCTCCTATTGTTGATGGTTGATTGAGAAGGATATGAATACTTCTTTTTTTTTTTTTTTTTTTGGTTACAAAAAACAGGGCCTTATGGTCCTGGCTCCTTTTCCCTTCTGGGGAGCGTCAGTCCGGTTCCTATTCCACTGGCAAGTCACAGAAACAATACATCATAATTACAGACCCGCGCTTCCTTCCGTTTGGCCGAAGGACCCCTCCATTTACATGGAGGATTGACTGTCAGCTTGCCATGCTCCACCTTTTCCTCTCAGGTCTACTATAGAGACCTGCCATATGTAGCTTGAAAACCGAGAAAGGTTAAGCCTTCTCCCACACCCCTTATCTTTACTTGCCCTGTACACCCTGTTTTTTTACTATCCACCTTTCCCCTGCCACCCTTAATTGCAGCTCATCACTTCCCACGCTTACCTTAGCTCTTCGTCAGTACATTATGTCGTAATACCCTAAACCCTCAACCCTAACTCAAGGTCCAACCCAGCCAAATCAGAGTTCCTCAAGCCCTAAGTCTTTTTCCGTACCACCCAGCTGGGTCCTTTCACGCTATGCGGTTAACATGCTCGCTGTGTTACCTGTCTTCACTTCTATTACTACTCCATTCGCCTCCGGCCTTAAATTCTCTTCAGTCGGATTGCCTCTACCCATCCTACTCTGACCCTTTGTTAACCTGACTCAGCCCGCCTATTCTCTTCTCTCCTCTCCGTTGTTTCCCCCAGTACGCCTCAAGTCTCTTAGCCCAGACCTGTTTCAACTCAGCTGTCTGTCTGTTGCAGTTCAGGTTTGTGTTTTCCTGCTTGTCTCTGAATTATGCCATTCTTTCCAGTAGATCCGGTCGTTGCGTAACTCAGCCACCTTTCCATCCACTGACATGAATACTAAGTGTTGTCTGTGGGAGAATTGGTAGGCTCTTGTTGGGATCCCCCACTTCCCAGCTTTCCATGGCAACTCCACCCACATTTCTGGGATACTTTTCTGGATGCATTGCAAGCTGTCATCCAGATTGTGACAGTCTTTGAGGTGTTCTCTTAAACGAGGTTCGTGAACCCCGCGGACCCCCGCCCTTCTCACTCTCATTCCATATGTGACTGACCTCCCATACCCCTTATGCCCCCCAAGATAGCCACCTCTTGTCCTCGGTGGTCAAGGTCCAAGGGCGATCACCATCATCGTTTATCCAAGGGTTCTTAAGGAGTGGTTCTCTGAGGACCCCTGGTTTGCAATCTTTGGGGGCATGACCAATCTCCATGTCTTCATTGAGGTTTTCCAATACAGTAGAGGGGTGGGGTTTTCTTTCGGGGAGGTGTACCTGGATACGTCTTCTTCTTCCTGTCTTACGACTCCAAACCATGTTCATTACCCAGAACATAGTTTTTTCCTTAAAAATCTTCTGAATAAAATCTTCGGAATTAGTTCTCAACCGAAGCTGGGAAATGGCTTCGGTAATCTCAAAATCATCATCAAACGCTCATTGCAACAATGTAATCTCATTATAAGGGATACTGGGCCCGGTTCCCAGCACGTGCTGCTCTCCATGAATAGATCGGAGCTTGTAACTAAAAAAAACAATAAAAAAAATGACCAGACATATTAAAAGGAGAGTCTACTGAGGTGAGGGTTCAAATACTGTCCCAAGCCAGACTGGACCAGGACAATTCTGTTTGATGAGTAATTTACTAATTTGATAACCAATCAATGGTCCCTAATTGTTGCATACTGTAACGTGCAGACCAGAACAAGAACCGACCTCTCAATGCAAAGTACAAGATAACACAGCGGAAGACTTAGATACGAATGATCCGAACAATCAATATTGCAATGCAGCYCTGAACACACATCATCATCATCGTTATCTGGTGTGAATGGGGTCTGGCGCTTCACACAAGAAGACTGCGCCAGCCCCAACCATACAMAGACGAAGAAGGAGGGGTTAGACRAAAGAGRAGGGGAAGATGGGAATGTCGTCAACACCAAGTCTCGGTACAGGCCCAAATAGTCCCTCGTCGAAATGTCTGAATCCCAATGTCCAGTCTGGATTCAATGTCGTCAAGTCTCAAGTCACAACTCTTTCTCTCTCTGTCGTAGTCTGAGAAGTCAGGTGGCGAGAGGGTGAGAA